GGTGGAAGAACAAGATAGATAGGGGAACACTGAGACAGGTTTGCATGGCCTAAGTGGGACAGAGGCAAATAGTGATGCATGCTCAAACTTAAAACACCAGAGCTCTGTGATACAGGGATCTACGCATAGCTTGAAGAGGGGGAATAATACTAAACTGCTTGACTGTCTTATGTATATTGGTTTTCCTTGCCTACTATTGTAAAATAGACACTTGAGTGGGATAGAAAGAAATGTTGGGAAACATGATTACAGAAAACTTGTAAACCTGTCTTCAGCCTATAACTGATTGGAATACCTAAAAGAGATTCTAGAACTTGTCCAGTGAAATAGGCCTCTTGCAAAGCCTTTGCAGAGTATAGGACCTTAGGTGGAATCTTGAGTCCCATCCAGAACCTTCTGAGGTGGGACATTGCCACTAGCAAAGACAAGCAGACCAGCCTGGAACAGCTAGAGCAACAGAAGATACCTCCTTAAAGAAAGATCATCAGGAAAAAAAATAAGCAAGCTGTTTGCCAGGAAGGCATCAAGTCAAACAATCAAGTTCCTTCAGGACAAACTCCCCTCTAAGACTGAAACTCAAAAGGAACACACTAATAAGTATGGAAGCTTGCTGGTGACCACATTGGTCTACTGGTGAGTGGAAGAGGAGGAAAGGCAGCAATGAAGAAATGGGCTGAGTTCAACCTAAGTCCATTGACTCCTGTTGACTTGGAGATGAGAGAAAGAAGAGGAAGTGCTGGTTGGTCCAAAGTGTGGTGAGACCTGACGACACCTGAGCTCATGGACAAGGACATAGCCACAGAGGGCTAGAGCTGAGAGTGAAGCATCCAGCTGATAGGAAGTGAGGGGAGATGCACAAGAACTCCCAAACTTGCAGATAGTACCCATTTGACCTGGCCTCGATGGCTTGATCATCACTAGAGGGAGATTAAAAAAAAAAATTTTTTTTTTTTTTTTTGGATAAAGGAAACAAGGGTAAATTGCTACAATTTGATGAACCTGACCTATACTCACAGAGGCGGTAACTCTAAATACCAACCAAGAGGGATGGAGTCACATCAAGTATCAATGCTATCCCCTCTGTACACAGGGTAGATAGGGACGGGCAACTTAGACAAAATGAGGGGGCGATAAAGGCACGAAGTGACTGACTTACAAGGTTTCAAGAGGGAGTCTAGTTTAAGAGTGTGGGGGTGAAGAAAGTGTCCCCACTAAATAGTTTTCATCTTGTCTCCACAGATCTGGTGAAAAGAGATGGGGATAAAATTTTTATGATTCATTAGTGAGTAATTGTTATCATGACTAATTGCGACTGTCACAACTGTAAAGGTATAAGTTTTGTAAGAAAAACAGGGGAGTAGTTAATCTTCCAGTACAGAAACAGGATCCTAAGACCATCAAGGGAGAAGAGCACAAGCAGAACACAAAACTTTATCCAGAGAAGCAGAGACGCCAGAGACGGAGGCAGAGATGGGGTCATGGAGAGAGGGAGTAGCTGAGGACTCTAGATCCATGAGAAGAGAGAAACTAAGAGCTGGTGGCCAGGAGGCAGACTTGCAGAACGTGCCCTTTGGAGTGTAATTATTATATATGCCTGAGTGGTTTTTTTTTCTTTTTTTAGAAAAAAAAAACAAGCTAAAAGGAGCTCTGGTAGTGTCGTGGTTAAGAATCGGGCTGTGAACCTCAAGGTCAGCAGTTTGAAACTACCAGCTGTTCCGCGGGAGAAAGATGAGGCTTGCTGCTCCCGTAAAGATTTACAGCCTCAGAAACCCTGTATAGGGTCGCTATGAGTCGGAAGCGACTCCACAGCACATAACAACAACAACAAAGTAGATAGGGAGAAATGTTGTTAACAGATGGTACATGGAGAAGATTATAATCATTGTAATGAAACAAGGCGTATGTATGATTTGTTGAATGTAAAACTGATGGTCTGCCCTGTAAACTGTCACTCAAGTCACAATAAAAACCTTAAAATATTCGATATATATATATATAGTTATTGTTGTTAAGTGCCGTCAAGTCGGTTCCAACCCATAGCGACCCTCTAGAGGGTTTCCACGGAGTGACTGGTGAGCTTGAACCACCAACCTTGCAGTTCAAACTGACTTTGCAGTCTAGCGCATTAACCCACAGTGCCATACCAGGACTCAAGTCAACCAAGATACCCAAGGCTGGGTCTGAATCCCAGCTCTCCCCACTTAATCAGCTAGGCGATCGTTGGCAAGGTATCCAACTAATATGAGTTTTATTTCCTCTTGTGTAAAATGGGGACAATATCAGGACCTAGCTCATGAGTAACTTAGAGACAATGTTATGTAAACCGCCCAGTTAACAGTTGCTGTGGCGTTGATTCCAACTCATGGTGACCCATGTATTTTAGAGCAGAAATATACTCCCCTCCATAGAGTTTTCAAAAGGAGCTCTGGTGGCGTAGTGGTTACGAATCAGGCTGCTAACCTTAAGGTCAGCAGTTCAAAACTAGCAGCTGTTCTGTGGGAGAAAGATGAGGCTTTCTGCTCCCGTAAAGATTGACAGCCTCGGAAACCCTGTGCAGGATCGCTATGAGTCGGAACCGACTCCACGGTACTTAACAACAACAACATATTCCTAAGTGCCTGTGGGTGGACTTGATCAGCCAATCTTCGGCTTAGCAGCTAAGTACATTAACGCTGTATTTCACCCAGGGATTCCAAAGTGCCCATTAGCAAACCAAAACTAAACCCATTGCCAGCAAGTCATTTCCAACTCATGACGACCACAAGTGACATTGTAGACCTGCTCCATAGCATGTCCTGGATTGCACTGTAGGATAAGCACTGGACTGTTAACCACATGGACAGCAGTTCAAGCCCACCAGTCGCTTCTCAGAAACCCTGTACAGGGTCGCTATAAGCCAGAATCGACTTGACAGCACTTAACAACAAGTATAATCTTGGCAGAAGCAGAACAGCCACATCTTTCTTCCCCAGAGTGGTTGGCAGGTTCAAACAGCTGATTTTCAGTTAGCAGCCAAGCACTCAACCATTGTGTCACTAGGACTCTTTAACTGCCCAGTTGCTGTTACCTGCCATCAAGTTAGCTCTGAGTCAGCGACTGGTGGGTTTGAACCTCAGAGCGTGCAGTGAGCAGTCCAGTGATTATTCTACAGTGCCACTCAATGACTCTAACTGCCCAGAAGGGCACCTGAAATGTAGGAGGAGCTCAACAATGTTAATGTCTAATGGAGTTGTGGAGTCCTGGTGTGGCACTGTGGGTTAATGTGCTGGACTGCAAGGTTGGTTTGCACAGCAAGGTTGGCGGTTCAAGCTCACCAGCTGCTCCTCGGAAACCCTATACAGGCTCACTATAAGTTGGAACAAATTTGATGGCACTTAATAACAAGGAGCTCTGGTAACGTAGTGGCTACGAATCAGGCTGCTAACCTCAGGGACAGCAGTTTGAAACTACCAGCTGATCCATAGGAGAAAGATGAGGCTTTCTGCTCCCGTAAAGATTTATAGCCTCGGAAACCCTGTAGAGGGTCACTATGAGTCGGAACCAACTCCACGGCACATAACAACAACAACAAACAACAACAACATTGTGACTGTGCCTACTCCTCCACCAAAGCTGACATCATTCAGGAATCAGCTGCTAGCTGACTAGGATATGGCTGGTAGCTCTTGGGGCTGTCTGTTATATTCTACATTGGGAAGTGAGGCCCTCCTGTGGTTCTGAATGAGTGCACCCTAGCTTGGCAGGTACAATATGGCCAACAAAGCCTGGTTGAATCCATGCCAACTGCTGCCTCACTCCCAGAATCCTCCCTCCCCAACGTCAGTCTCAGCAGGCACACACAGCTACAATGAAAGCCATTGAGGAAGTATGGCTATTTTGCCTTCATCTAAGTTCTTGTGTAGGTTGACTTACTGGTTCTAGCTGGGTCTCCTAGGTTAAAAATTCACTATCCCAAATGCTGCTGTGAAAATTGTTGTTGTTGTTAACGATGTGTGTGTGTGTGTGTTGTGGAGTTGGTACCCTACTCAGAGAAGCAGTGATGCCTGAGAGAGAGGCAGAGACAATGACCTAGAGAGATGGAGCAGTTGGGGACTTTAGACACAGAGAGGGAGAAGGGCTGTGTGCTGACGACCGGGGGAGGGGGGGCCGGGGAGCAGGCTTGTAATGTATGCCCTTTGGTTGGTTGACGATGCATGGAGGGGATTGTAACCATGACAGTGAAACGACATGTGATAAGATTAATGTAAAACTAATATTCTCCCATGTAAAGTATCACATAACTCATAATGAAACATTAAAAAAAAAAAAAATAGTGACTGGTGGGTTTGAACTGTCAACCTTATGGCTATCAGTCCAGTGTTTTTCCTACAGCACCATACCATGGTCCTGTTGTTGTTGTTAGGTGCTGTTAAGTCATTCCGACTCATTGCAACCCTATAAATAACAGGAGGAAACACTGCTTGGTCCTACGTCATCCTTGTTAAGACGCTTGAGCCCGTTACATGATTAAAATTTCAAGAGTGAAATCTGAATCAGAAAAAAACACTAACAACCACATGAGAGAGAGACGGGAATAATCTCTGAATCAAGGCTCCACTAACTATATCTGGGTGACCTGGATGTCCCTTTCGTCATTTATAAAATGCAGTTAATATGTCCTCCCTCGCAGGCATTATGCCAGCTGACAATAACAGTGATCACAGCTAACATTTACTGAAACCTTATCATGGACTGGACATGTGCTAAGTGCTTTTACACACTTTATTCCTGCAGAAGAAGAGATGCTTTTCATGATTCCTATTTTACAAAAGAGAAAAATGGCTTCTAAAGAATTTTAGTTCCTTCTACTTCCTTGCTCTTAATGCACCGACTAGTTCTGTCATCCCTGTCCACTCTCTCTAACAACAAAAAAAAGTGTTTTTCACTGGTCTCCATCAGCAGCTGTTGCTGGCCACCCCACCCCACCCCAAAAGGAACCAGTTCCTGTGCAAAGCACTCACAGTGGTGGTCAGCTTCCCTCCATTCTTCTGGACGTACTGGATGGAATCATGGATCATTGAGAAGAGACCGAGCAGCACGTCCTCCATGTCATAGATTCTGTACATACCGTTCACCAGTTCTTCGAGAGACAGAATGTATTCCCTCCAGTACTTGTCAATCTCTACGACACCTGCCATGCAGCCTTGCATGACCACATTGCAGTAACCACCACAAGGCTTAACCATCATCAGTCCCTGGCAGTACGAGCAGTACCACATTCTCGTGAGCATTCGGCCACAGTCCTTGCTGAACTTCAGATGATCGGTGGTGTTGATCACTTCAATCCCAAGATTCAGAGCCTGGAGGAAGATCCTAGTGACTTGCAGTGACTTGGAAACCTGGGTCATAATAAGTTTGGGGAAATTCCCAAATACTTTCAGGTCACGTCTTGCCCCTCGGAGGCACTCATTGATGTCCAAAGCTGACTCAGGCAGGCCTGGGTTCATGAGTTGAGTATAGATGACTGGAAACAGACTATCAAATAATTCATTGACCATGTCGTCTACATTGATGTCAGAACCCAGAATGTAGAGAGACACATCTGTGAAAAATTCGCCCACAAACTCAAAAGCTTGCGGAGTCAGGCTTGGATAGTTGTTCTTGAACATGGCATTGGTGTAGTTCTTGGCATGGCGAACAACAATTTCAAAGGCCTCTGCAAAAAAAGAGATAGAGAAACGTCCAGAGATTAAAGACTGAAAAAGTAGTTTTTAATGGAATTTGAGATTCTTCTAGCGCTGGCATGATTAAAATCCCATTTGCCTTAAGTAACTGAATCGCATTCATTTCTGATATTGCCTCTACTTCTACATGTCCCCGCCTATAAATAAATTTTCCTTTCAGAACGTGAAGCTCACATACAGATATGTACATAAATTCTTAAACACAGAAATTATATTTCAAAAGACAAAGCCACAATTCAGTTAACATTTCAGCCTTTTATGAAAATATTGATCAAAAAGTGCCTAAATGAGAAGTTAGTTCTTTCTCTCATTGATTGATTCAGTCAAAAAGAAATTGCATTTCAGGACATTTCATTTTTAGCAGAGATAAATATTTGACAACAAACCATATGCTGTATAAATTCACATAACAATTTATTCCTGTTCATCCCTGGAGGAGAGAAAAGTTCTTAGCCAAGAATAAAAGTTATCATGAATTGAATCTTTTTTGGGTAGATTTTCTCTAGATAGCTTTAAAGGGACTACTCTGACAGATTGCCAAGTCTGGAAATGGAATTTATCCTCCGAATGGGTATTTGGGTGGAACAATCATCCCATACCCTAATCTATCTATATTTTTGATGTTGAAAACAGCACCTCTGGTATTTGCAAGCTGAACATCTGGAAGGATAACTGCTAAGCTTCCTTGGTAACTTCAGCTTCCACATGGCTTGAAAGCTTCGTTCACTCCACAGAGTTCAAGAATGCACGATTACATCTGCTGCCCTAGCCCTTGGCAGAAAGCCCAATTAGTGCCATTGGTTTGGGAGCAAACGTACTAATGTCAGCACCTCATGTTCTCCCAATGGAAACACTCCAAACACAAATTATCACAAGTAATCAGAGTTCCCCATTTATATGGGGGAAAGGAAAACAACAAAACAACCACTGAATAGATTTTGAAAGGAATAAGACGAGAGCTTAAGCACGCACACACAAACTAAGAAATAATCAAGTTTCCTAAGACTTTAAAATAAAGTTAGTACTTTCTTTCCTTTCCTTCCAAACTGTAAAAGTCCATGACAGATGTGCTTCAAATGGTTCCAATTCATAAGCCGTGAAAAATCAAATTATTATCCCTTTCAAACTATTAGAAAGATGATACGCCCAGGGCTCCTTGGGATCACTCAGTTGAACACCTCAGTCACCTAGGTTGTGCTGCCACCATCTGCCCTAGATCCCTCACAAGCTAGAACATGATCCCTTGCTTCTGCTGTTGGGTTTATGACATGCCCAGCAATGTTGAGCAGCTGCCAGTATAATTCTACTGGGCTTCCAAGCTCACTTTAGAAAGATAATGTTCCTTCCTATATTTTGCTTCATGTTTGACTTCTGTTTTATTTGGAAACACTAAGCAATTCCTGAAAAAAATGAATCTGCCTTGTAGTAATCTCTTCCTAACCCTGTATCCTAATTTCCTTATTTCCAATCCTTGAATCTAAATATTGGTTGTGGCCTAGAGATTATCTACCCCAATAAAAAGCATCAGTCAGTCATTAAGATATTCACACATATTAATTTCAGCAAGCAACTCATGGTCTGTGCTGGATACTAGAGTTACATTGAGTCAGTGTCGATTCCCACTCCTGGTAAACCCATGCCTTTCAGACTAGAACTGTGATTTACTGACTTTCCAATGGCTGTGATCTTTTGAAACTAGATCTACAGGCCCTTCTTCCAAGATACTTCTGGGTAGATTCAGACTACCAATTTTTTGGTGACTAGTTAGGTATTGAACTGCTTGACCTACCCAGGGTCTCCTACATAACTGCTGGATAGAACCAAACCAAACCCACTTTCATACAGGAATTTCATAGAGAAATCCATAGGATTTCTGAGTCTGTAAATGTTGACAACCGCAGACAGCCTTATTTAACTCCTGCAGAGCAACTGGGAGGTTTGAACTTCTAACTTTTTGGTTGCCAGCTCACTGTGCCACCAGAATACCAAAATGCTGGGTTGTTCTTGTGTGCCCTCGAGTCGATTTTGACTCACAGTGTTGCTGTGAACTGCCTTCAAGTCAGTTCTGACTCATAGTGACCCTGTATAGGGTTTCCAAGGAGCGGCTGGTGAGTTTGAACTGCCGACCTTGTGGTCCTTCTTTCACTTTTGCCTTGAAGCAGAGTGGGTTGAGTGAAGGGAAGACTGGGGCTAAGATGTCACCACTATAGATCTCAATCATCCAAGCTACCCTAAAATGAATTATCTACAAGTTCAGTTTCATCTCTGGTAAATTACATGCACAAAGTAGATGATAGTGAAATTCCATAGACTGGGATGCCCGAACCTGTGGATTTTTACTGTTTTGTTTGTTTTTTAAGCTTCTATTACTAGGACTGCTGGATCAACAGAAAAAGAAAATTACAAAAGACCATGAACTCTCCTACAGAAAGAATAACAACTGCACTTATTGTAGGGGGAAAGGGCTAGAGGTTCACCTCTAACCTGGAACCCCTACATGCTCCCACTGCCACAGCTGTAGGTTTTACCCAGTCCCCTCACTTCTAGATCACAGGACAACAGACCAGACCACAACTGCTCAAGCAAAAACTCCAGCAGGACCTGTAGGAATTAGGTGAAAAGAGATGCTCAACTCTGCCAGGCAATTTGAGAGTTCATGTAATGAAGCCAAGGACTGGAATTACCGCAAGGAAGTGTACCCCACTGAATTTTTTACTTATTTATTTGTGTCTGATAATACACATCAGCTAGGAAGGTTTTCTTCTGTCTCTTTCCTGGAAAGAAATCAAGAGCTATGGCCAGGGAAAATCAAAGCAAACATTGTAAAATCAAAGCTATTGTGTAAAATCTGGGACAGATCAGAAAGCATTCTAAAACTCTTTTATGCATGATATAGAAAGATAAAAGATGCCGAAAAATAGTTCTAATAAGTTGATTTTACTACACATCCTATTAAGTTTCTTTAACTGGTACAATAGCTTCTGCTACCCACCCACTGCCACCCTCAGGGCATATATATTATCAAGGCAGCAAAATGAACATTCTTAGTATTTGGTACTTATGTTGCTACATTCAGAGCCAGACAGAAGGATGTGTGTTTTATGGGTCTTTTCATTCATGGGTGCGTATTAAAAAAAGAAGAGTCTATTTATGGTTGGAAGAGAGGAAGAAATGAACCGGGGGATGGATCCTTTCCAAGACTTTATGAATATGGCTGTTCTTATAGAAGCAGGTGATTTTTTTTCAAAGGCAAATGCTTTCTAAGAAGAATAAATTACATTCGTAGGTATACATGCTATATATACAGTTTGCTGGACTCAAAATGAATATCCCCCATTAAATTTATTTTTATTTTTTATGGCACTAACCAAGATGAAAGTAACATTTATGGGGTACTTGTGATGAAAATGCCAGGATCTGTAGTAAACATGCTCACGCATGTGCTCTTATTTAAATTAACGATACATGTTTGAAATGATTTTTACTTGACTGGTGGGGAAACGGAGACTTGGGGGAGGTTAAGTGACTTGTGCAAAGTCCTAACTATAAGTTCAATGATAGGACCTGGATTTGAAACTAGGTCAGTCTAACATTAAATCCCAGGTAAACTTTGCAACGCATTTAAGCCTTGAGAGCTGGAACTTCCTGTTCTCACTCCAAAATGAAGTCATTACTCTGATACTCACAAGAAGAAAAAGGGGGACATACTGGAAATGAAAATCAGTGACTCTTCTTAGATTCATTAAAGAATTGAGGTCACAGGAAAAACTGCTGACTGGAATCTGGAGAGTCAGAAGAATACAGAGAATCTACAGGTGAGCTCGAAGCCATGAACTAGTACGAATTGGCAAATTGTCATTTTGTCCAATTACTACAGGCTGATAGTGAAAAAGTCACCAGAACAGTGAATGGCAACAAAGTAAGATTTGAAGACGTTAATACCTGAGAAGTTTTCCAGGATTTATTACTGACATCACACCATAGTTCCAAGAAGCTCACAAAACATGAAGAAGGATAAAAACAGAAACAACAAAAAATCCATTCCTATGCATATCGCGGGAATTAAACTACTTACTTACTGAAGAAGATCAAAGGTATGGATTATGCCTCAATGTACAGAAAACAAAAATCCTCACCACTGGACCAATAAATAACATCATGATGAATGGAAAGTGAAGTTGTCAAAGACTTCATTTTGCTTGGATCTACTATCAATACTTTCAGGCCTGGCTTTTAAAAACATAAAGGATTATCTACTATAATGGAGTCCTGGTGTGAAGCTGTAAGATAAGCATTGAAGTGCTAGCCACAAGGTTGGAGGTTCAATCCCACCAGCCAATCCTTGGAAACCCTATACGTGGTGGATGTTAGTCAGAATGGCACGTAACAACAACAGTCTACTATAATAACAGAAGCATAAAGCACAACAGCCAAAATACATCAATGGGATCTCATCAAAGTTAAATACATCTGTTCATGAACAGACTACCAAAAAAGTAGAAGGTCAAGCAATTGACCTTCTGAAGAAATATCTTCAGAAACTACACCTGATATGAATCTAATAACCAAAATCTATATAATCCCTCAAAAACCTAACAACAAAACGACAAATAATCCAATCATCAAATAGACAAAGGACCTGAATGAACATTTCACCAAATTGGAAATCCAAACGACCACCATACACAAGTAAAGATGCTCCACATCATAATTCATCAGAGAGATGCAAAGGAAAATTCCAACAACACACCACTTCACTCCCAGTAAGAACCCCAAATCTGAAAACAACACATATTTACAAAACGGGTAGAAATTCAAGCCATTCTTTTTCTAAGTGTGGTGGACATTTGTCTCTCTCCCTTTCCCACAGTGCCTTCCTATAGAATCAAAGCCTCTTTTCGAATTTAAAATTCTTGACAAGAACAATAAGTAAGGTAAGCATGGGCTTACTAGCTAACCTACAGTGTACAAT